GGTTGCCGGCTTCAAAGATTCGTGACTGCCCGCTGAAAATCAAAACTTTCAGCATCGGGGACCGAGGCGTGTATCGGCGTGTATCTGCGTGTATCTGTCTCTTAATAAGAGACTTAGGCGTGTATCAGCGTGTATCTCTTGATCCTTGGAGGTCTCAAGTTTTCCGTGCACGACTTGATCGTGTACGTGCACATGTCTATCTAGATCACCACTGTCTCTTACATGTGCTCCCAGTGAACCTTATTTGGGTCGCCAATGTCTCTCATGTCGCCCCTGAACGTCTCTTATTGAGCCCCTGAACGTCTCTTATTGAGCCCCTGAACGTCTCTTATTGAGCCCCTGAACGTCTCTTATTGAAGAGTGTAAGTGTGCTTTTGTGTTTCAAACTCTGATCCTCGCTTGCAAGCCATGGGAAAGCCTGCTCTAGTCGATAGAAACAGATCGGCCGAAGAAAAACAAGAGATGTATGATGGCTGGTCAGAAGCCAACAAGTGGTGGCAGCCAGGACTTTTTTTTTTTGTAGTGCTTCTGTATACAAAACACAAACACAAATCGCAGGTGTGGATATACATTGTGTTAAAATAACCACTATATACAGGAATAAGTTAAGATATTGCTTAGTCCAAAAAAGATTGTACAATGTATGCTCTGTATACATCTATTATTGCAACGAAGCATACCTGTACCGCTTAATTAATCCTGTGGCACAGGATGGAGCACGAAGGGCCAGGAAAGGGGAGAAGGAAAAGAGAAAGGCCAGGAAAAGGGCAAAGGAAAAGACCAGGAAAGCACCGAGAAGGACCACAAGGGAAAGGGAAAAGCGAAAGGCCAGGAAAAAGGAAAGGAGAAGGGCCAGGAAAAGGGCGAAGGAAAAGGCCAGGAAAGTACCGAGAAGGGCCAGGAGAAGGGAAAAGGAAAGGTGAAAGGCCAGGACAAGGGCAAGAGGAAAGGCCAGGAAAGCACCGAGAAGGGCCAAGAAAAGGGGAAAGGACAGGAGAAAGGTCAGGAAAAGGGCAAAGGGAAAGCCCCGGAGAGCCCCGAGAAGGGCCAGGAGAAGGGAAAAGGAAAGGAAAAAGGCCAGGAAAAGGGCCAGGAAAAGGGCAAAGGGAAAGGCAAGGAAAGCACCGAGAAGGGTCAGGAGAAGGGAAAAGGAAAGGAAAAGGGCCAGGAAAAGGGCAAAGAGAAAGGCCAGGAAAGCACCGAGAAGGGCCAGGAAAAGGGAAAAGGAAAGGTGAAAGGCCAGGAAAACACCGAGAAGGCCAAGAGAAGGGGAAAGGAAAGGAGAAAGCCAAGAAAAGGGCAAAGGGAAAGGCCAGGAGAGCACCGAGAAGGGCCAGGAGAAGGGAAAAGGAAAGGACAAGGGCCAGGAAAAGGGCAAAGGAAAAGGGCAGGAAAGCACCGAGAAGGGCCAGGAGAAGGGAAAAGGAAAGGAAAAGGGCCAGGAAAAGGGCAAAGAGAAAGGCCAGGAAAGCACCGAGAAGGGCCAGGAGAAGGGAAAAGGAAAAGAAAAGGGCCAGGAAAAGGGCAAAAAGAAAGGCCAGGAAAGCACCGAGAAGGGTCAGGAAAAGGGAAAAGGAAAGGTGAAAGGCCAGGAAAGCACCGAGAAGGGCCAAGAGAAGGGGAAAGGAAAGGAGAAAGGCCAAGACAAGGGCAAAGGGAAAACCCAGGAGAGCACCGAGAAGGGCCAGGAGAAGGGAAAAGGAAAGGAAAAGGGCCAGGAGAAGGGCAAAGGAAAACCCCAGGAGAGCCCCGAGAAGGGCCACGAGAAGGGAAAAGGAAAGGAAAAAGGCCAGGAAAAGGGCAAAGGGAAAGCCCAGGAGAGCACCGAGAAGGGCCAGGAGAAGGGAAAAGGAAAGGAAAAGGGCCAGGAAAAGGGTAAAGAGAAAGGCCAGGAAAGCACCGAGAAGGGCCAGGAAAAGGGAAAAGGAAAGGTGAAAGGCTAGGAAAGCACCGAGAAGGGCCAAGAGAAGGGGAAAGGAAAGGAGAAAGGCCAAGACAAGGGCAAAGGGAAAGCCCAGGAGAGCACCGAGAAGGGCCAGGAGAAGGGAAAAGGAAAGGAAGAGGGCCAGGAGAAGGGCAAAGGAAAAGCCCAGGAGAGCACCGAGAAGGGCCAGGAGAAGGGAAAAGGAAAGGAAACAGGCCAGGAAAAGGGCAAAGGGAAAGCCCAGGAGAGCACCGAGAAGGGCCAGGAGAAGGGAAAAGGAAAGGTGAAAGGCCAGGAAAGCACCGAGAAGGGCCAAGAGAAGGGGAAAGGAAAGGAGAAAGGCCAAGACAAGGGCAAAGGAAAGGCCCAGGAGAGCCCCGAGAAGGGCCAGGAGAGGGAAAAGGAAAGGTGAAAGGCAAAGACAAGGGCAAAGGGAAAGGCCAGGAAAGCACCGAGAAGGGCCAGGAGAAGGGAAAAGGAAAGGAAAAGGGCCAGGAAAAGGGCAAAGAGAAAGGCTAGGAAAGCACCGAGAAGGGCCAGGAAAAGGGGAACGGAAAAGAGAAAGGCCAGGACAAGGGCAAGGGGAAAGGCCAGGAAAGCACTGAGAAGGGCCAAAAAGGGGGCAAAGGCACTAAGTTTGGCCTGGTCACTAGACAGGGCATGGAAGACCTGTTCGGTTCCAGAGACAACAATGATCAGTGGTGGGGTCCCCAGGAAGGTGGCCCGTCAAGACCCCTAGCCCTAGCTCAACTAGAATATAGCTCGTACCTTTTTTCCATGATGTATGTAAATTGTATATCTGTTGCATATGTACGTATGCACATGCATTGTTTGTGATGCATTGATCCGAGGCTCCTCCTGGGAAGGTCGTGCTGTTGCACCGGAAAAGAGAACCTGGGAAGATGCGAGGGTCGGAAGCCAGTCGAAAGGCCTGGAAACATATGTTGGGATTTCCGGGGGTTCGTCTGCTGCATCCAAACTTGTAAGGGAGCCCTCGATCCCTTCCCTAGCGATCCACAACCCCAGACCCCGAACCTTGAACCCTGCATTCATTGCTAGGCCTGCCAGATCAGTGGGAGGATCCCCAGTCAAAGAAGTCGCTTGGTTCGATCAATCGTCTGAAAACCACTATCTGTGCTGCAGAGACACACATGAACCTGCAGGCCACGCCGCAGCTTCACGCGGCAGTCCTGGGCCAGTGATGTTACGGAAGAGAGCCAGGACCAGGAGCCCGAACCTTCTTGGGCTGACCAGGAATCTCCCAAGAAAACGGGCTTCATGTTCCCAGGGAACCCGAATGATGTTTTTCGGCTTACATTCTAGTGCCCTGCATATAAACCATATTAGAAACATAAATCCCCTGCATGGCATCTCTCGCTGAGGTTCGAAAGCTGACAGAGGAACAAAGGGCTCAGATTGAAGTGGCTCACACTGCACTGGACCCGAACCTTCACAATTCTTAAAACTAGATTGGGCATTATGTCGTGAGGCTCTGGAGAAACCCGAGGACATCGACCTGGCCGAACGGAAACGCCTCAACGAGGGCCTTCGCCGGCGAATGAACAATGCCAGAGGCCAGCCTGTGAGTTCCTACCCCCCTTCGTATATACTGCAAGCTGTCTTATGCACCCTTATAAACCCTAAACCTAAAACCTTGAACCCTGGCAGGACTACGCAAGGGTCTGGTTGAACAATGGCAGGCGGCAGTGTCGCCAACTGAGAAGTCCCGAGGCAGCAGTGTATGTTATAACTGTACGAACCAACATCCCCGAACCCTGAACCTTAACAATCCACAACTGTGTGGCCTTCTCGATTCGTTGCAGCTGAGGTTTCAATTCTTGAAGGCATATCTTCTCGACCGGGACATGCCCTCCATCGAGATTCAGCCGTACTTCGAGGAGCCACTGGTCCTATAGAATCTTAACCTCAAAGCTTTAACTTACAAACCCTATAAACCCTGCGACCCTAAACTCTCTCTCTCTCTCTGTCTCTCTCTCTCTCTCTCTCAAACCCTAAACCCTGAACCCCTTAACTCACAAAGCCTTCGACTACTTCAGCTCAGGCTCAGTGAATCCAAAGACACCGAACACTTCGTCGAGCTCCCTCTCTGCGAGATTATCCAGAAATACAACCACTTACCTGGCGGCCCTGAGTATATCAAGTCGATCCAACAAAGTGGAACCCTGAGATTATAAGTCACACTCTCTCTCTCTCTCTCTCTCTCTCTCTCTCTCTCTCTCTCTCTCTCTCTCTCTCTCTCTCTGTTTTCTTGTTCCTGCTCAAAGTAGTAACATACACCTCCTTTCTGACCCAGCTAAGGTCAGGTGGGAAAACCCCACCCCCAGTTCTCAGATGACCTTTGGAAATTGTACAAGGTCTATAAGTGCACGGACCACCTGAGAATCCCGGCTGCAGTTCCTTTGCATATCTCGGTAGCTGTGTGATGTTGTTGTCCTCCATGCAATCCAAGGTTCGAACATCTCCAGAGTGGGTTCCAAAACGCGGGCCAAGGTCCAGCCTTCGCAGAACCGACAGGAGCGGCAAGCCCTCGCAGACACGCTAGAGAAGAAGATCGCCGGGATGAAGACTGGCACGGCCGAGTCAAAGAAAGCAGGGAACAAAGCGAAGTCGAAGAAGGATCGAGATGTGTGTGCGATTGCAACAAAAGAGTCTAGCTAAGCCTAAACCCGAAACCCTAGTTCCTAAACCCAATGCCCTGAACACTCCTACTTTCCCAGGAACTGACAGCCGACGAGAAACTGAAGAAGGATTTCCAAAAGGATCACCTGGGGCATCTTGCCTGAATCTATTTGTAGTAGAAACATTTAATGGGCTATAGGTTAATCGTTTGCAGCCGAGGATTCGTAATATGGCCGACAAAGCTGTGCACATCGCATCGGAGATCAGCTCCTGTGGGCTTCTCCACCAAGAGGCACACCCTAAACCCGAAACCCAAAACATTAAAAAACCTTAAGCCTGAACCCTGAACCCTTAACCCTGAACCCTGAACCCTGCACAGAAAATGGTGGAAAGCTTGGGGAAAGTCAACACGACGTGCACCAAGATCTACAATGAGTGGCTCGGCATGCATGCAGTTGCAACATGTCACGTTCCAAAACCACAAGCCTTATAAATCCTCATCGATGCTGAACCCATTACAAAACCCTGAACCCGACCCAAGCTACATCCCAGGATTCAGCAGATGGTGTTCTCGTGCAAGCCGGTGAACGAATGCTATGAAATACTCGATGGATACAAAGTGGAGCTGGAGGCTGCCTCGATCTCTCCATCTGAAATTCAGCACTAGAAACACCCGAAGTACCAGCCTTATAAATTTCGTCCAGGAATGCCAGAAGAAGATCACCAACGGCGAGGACATTGTGGATTCGCACAAGAGACGTACATCGGCTTGATGCCCTGAAAACTGAATTCCTGAACCCTAAACCCTAAAACTCTAAACTCTAAAACCCTAAACCCTACCCCTGAAACCTCAACCTTAACCTGTCCTCGCAGGCCTGGCTACGGAAAAGAGAAAAAGGGAAAAAGAAGAGAAGAAAGAAAAGCAAAAGCATGATGATGACGACAGGGATGATGGATATGATGCAGATGAAAAAGATGCCGCCGAAGCCGCCGCAGAGGAAGAATGGCCGGAGGAGGATCCTGAACCGCCTGCAAAACGCAGGTAAATGAGTGGCTGGATGCAAGCATAGGGGCCAGGGGAGCAGCAGTGTTGGAGTGCATGTGTATTGTATATACACTTTTGTACACGCAGGCTGCTTTCAAACTTCACGCATGCTTTCTGGGCAAAGCACTCGACACTGGCTGCACGTGGTCATGCCAAGGGCATGGCAACTGTGTTTTGCTTCTGCAGAACTTTCTTCTGAACTGATGAGAAAACATGCAATCCTGAACGAGTTGCCTTCGAGTTCGATTCATCACGCCGCATACCAGAATCGCAGCGATGATTGAATGCCGTTCCTCAGCTTGATCAGCTGGTCTGTGGTGCCTATACTTCATCCATACCCAGTGGCTTCGGAGCCCTAAATTTAGATTCGAAACATATGTGTCAAAAGAATCAAAAGGTACAGGGTTTAGGGTTTAGGGGTTCGTAAGGTGTCGGTGTATACTACCCAATAACTGGTGCCGTAGACTTTATGTCGACAGGAACCCTAGAACACAAACTGTCAGAGGTTATCGGGCTTATAGGGCTTAGGTTTCTAGGGTTTAGGGGTCCAAGCTTCAAGGCAAACCTCAGGCACAACCGCAGTTGTTGCTTCCACATGGCCTGTTCCATAAACCTTTGATGTGAAGCCTTCGCCGCGATCATGATTCGATGCTGGCCGGATGATATGCTGTTCATACATTTCCGAGACTAGACCTTTGCTTGATTACATGTTTAGTTTTTTGTAGTGTTCTTCGGTAGTAACAATCGTAAACCCTATAAACCACCAAACCATGTCAGTGCTTATCAGTGCTCCAGAAAACAGCCAAGGATCGAGACCTCGCGATCATATGATATGTCGCCGAGCCCCTCTCACGAAGCATTCGAATCTTGTGTTTTCTTGGTTAGTGAAGTGCATCCGAGAACAGCCCAGGAGAGAAGGATTCAAGATGTCAACCTCGGAGTCGATCGGCTCCGATGCTATTCACCGCTATGTCCAAGAGACAACTCAACAGAATTTGAGGCTTCTATCTCAGGGACAGGCCAGGTTGCCAACTGAATTGAGGGTGCAATTGTTTAGACCACGATGGAAACCAACTAACCCTGAAGGTGCCTTTGTCTGAGCTGGCCGTCTCTCTGGAGCGACTCTACAATCTGCCTCATGCTCTGTTGAGGTGTCAGTGCTGCATTGCAAACGGGGGGATGTGATTCGATCCATATAGCATTGATTCATCTATCCCGGAGGAAAGACTTGTTGGACCTGGCTACTGCATTCCGTTCAGAGACATCTGGCGGCTCATGGGGCCGTATGAGATTGCTCGAGAGGTGGGTGGACCGACAACCATGGCGACATGCACTTCCACCATCCTTCAGGTTTCCAAACTGCAGCCTTTTGTCGGTCTGTTGAATCCTGTGAGGCTGGTTTGGAATATTGCAACCCAACAGAAATGTAGTTTCCATCCGAGGTTCGAGCTCACCGCCGTGTACGATGATGCACACGGCCCTCGAACGAGGGCTGTGAATCATCATATGATGCTGCCGCATGAAGTTGTTGGATTCCTGCACGCATCGGGGAACTCACACCAGCTGTACGAATCTCTGGAACAAGCTGCTTGGTTCTGGCATGTTACTCGTGTTGCCTTTAAAATTGGGAACACTGATGTGTTTGCTTCTGTTGGCAATCCAAGGTTCGAGAATACTGGTCAGAGCAGCCGGACCAACAGTGGGTCCAAGAAAACGCTGCACAGCTGCATCTTGAGTATGTATGCATCGAACAAGTGTAGAATTCAGGACGATGTTGTAGCTTAGGTTTGGGATCCGGAGCAATGTGTTCCGCTGCGAATCTACGGCGATGGTGCCGAGTTCACGAGTAGCACAGTTGCAAACAAATTGGAATACTTTTTAGTCCTAATTAAGACCGGCGGTATGTGCAATGCTGCCCGAAGCTAAGAAAAGCAGAAGTTCGAGATGTTCTTGTTATTGGCACCGCTGGCCGCGAATTCTTCGAGCACGACAAATGGCAGATTCTTGCAGCCCGGCAGAAACTGCCACAATCTATACATGTATAACATGAGCTAGTGGCGATATGCATTTTTACATGCTGGCGACCCGCCTTGGACTGCAGGCTGTCATGCATCAACATGTGCTACCGCAACGACGCCTCTCGCCGGAAAATTCTTGATGTGATCTGTTGGTCCATGAAGGCACTGAGCAGCTTTGGCAGCACTTATGTCGGAAAACATGTATGTCGCATGCAAAGAACATAAACACATGTTCCGATGCAAGGTGATGGAGTATATCCATGGTCTGACCCATGGGGATGTGAGTTCTCCAACACGTACGAGCCTGCCCGATACCGTTGGGCAGGCCAACCATTGGCGAGCCATGGAGCATCATTTGGAGTGTTCGACGGCATACAGGCGGACCTCGAATTCATCAAGAAAATTTTGTTTCTGCAACGCAGCTCGATCGCATTTCCTTGTGGATCTATCGTACACATGTTACTGTATGCATACCGGCAAATCCAAGGTGATTATACGAGAAAACAATGTTGTTTTCTCTGTGGTGCTTTACAATGGGTTTATCGCCATGGCGATCCCGATGGACTGCCTAATGATCCGAGCCTCCTCTACAGCAACTTCGGTGAGGAGGCAGCACATCGGCAGACGTTTCTCGCTACGATTTAGCATCCATTGCCACACCGATTGTGTGAAAGCCTAAACCCTAAATCCGAAACCCCATATATAAACCTGCAAAACCTTCAATAATCAACCATAGTCAGTATAGGTTGGTGCGAGATGCTGCGGAATTCCAGCAGATCCATTCTGCGAGCCCCCTCACCCAGATACCAGCATTCACGCCGTGGCGAAGCTTGGACAAGAATTTCAGAATCATTTTACAGGGTCCAGGGTTTACAATAAAGTTTTCAAGCCTACATATACAGCTGGTCCAGGTGTATGGCCGGACATAATGCACCTTTTACATTTAGCCATTGTGCCGGATGTCTTGGGCTCCTTGCTGTGCGACCTCAGCGATTTGGCACCGAAAAGGGAAGCCGCGCTGCAAGCTCTGTACGAGAGCTATCGCTCCTGGTGCGAGGAAACCGGAGTGCCGGACCGTGCTGCAAAGAGGCTCTTCAGCAGTGCAACTCTTCACCCGAACTCGAAAGATTATCTGAGTATTTCCCAGAAGCTTTTATCGGGCACGGCCGCACGGTACAGTGTATTCTGGATGGCTCAGCTTCTTACCCACTTGATGAAATGCCATCCGGGAAACGAGTTCTATGCGATCCTCGGCTATATATTGCGGGTTTTCCGAAACATACATCTGCTTCTTATAAGGGTTTAGGGTATAGGGTTTAGACCCTATAGCTCGAATTGCAACGGAGAGCATGCAAATCCAAGGCTCCGAGGTGGGGTCTGTATAGCCCTTGCTACCATGGAAAGCATCTTCCTTCGATCTGGCAGAATTCTTACAGAGGATGCGGACCGCGACCTTCGAAGAGCTTACATTATTTACAGATCTGGCTATAACAAGCTAGCTGAATGGGCTCTTTCGACATCACTCTGTAGATGGCCCCTGCGGCCCAAGAATCATTACGTCGAGCACCTCGTGCTCGACACATCTCCGCAGAACGGGAGGTACATGCACAACTATCCTCAAGAAGACCACATCAGAAGGATTAAACACCTGGCTTCGAAAAGTCACCCTGCTTTCCTGGCGAAACACGTAATGCTTAAATGGGCGATGCAAAGGACCATGAGCTGGGCGGACCTCGCGGAGTAGAAAAAAATCAGTCCGATCGAGGGGTGGAAGCCCCAGCTGCAGCCGAAACACCCTAAAACCCTTGACCCTAAACCGTGACGGTAGTAACAGCAGCAACGAGACCTTCTCAAGCCGTGCCTCCCTGTAGAGCGAGTGTGCGAGTCGAAACCCTTTAAAACACGAACAGCTCGAAGCCCGAGAAACCGGTGTCGTCGTCGTCGTCGTTGGTGTGTTTGTGTGTGTGTGTGTGTTAACACTATATATATGTGTATATATATACACATTGCATATATGTGCGGCATGGCCATGTTTCATGTTTCATTTTTTTTGGCTCCTGGTTTGCCTGCATGGGCACTTTCGAGATCGCTCTGTCGCTCTTGAACCACTATGTGGTGGGTTCTGGACACATCCCGCTGGGGAATATCATTGGTAGCGGAAATTCTCAACAGAGACTGATACAGGTGCTGCATTTTCGAACTGATATATGCATGCCCCGCAACAAGTGTGGACCCGGTTCCACCAGTTTTCTGTTGTTTTGCGATCCGGATGGAAACTTTTCATGCGGATGTAAACAGCTTTCAGAGAATTCCGGCACTGATCCCACTGAAGGTCAAAATTTTCATGGCATCATACTCAGGTAAAAATGGACCAAATAAGATACGTTGGGCTCAGTGACTCTTGTTTGCTGAATGCCTTTTAATTAGGATACGTTGGGCCCGTGCTGGCAGTTCTGGAGCACCCGCGATCAAGGCAATGAACACTGGAGGTCCCGAGCCTGGGTCTCAAGGGACTCCGAAGGGAGGTACCAGCCCGCAAGCTGCTGGAGCCTCTAGACCCTGTAAGTTCTTCATGTCGGAAACGGGGTGCCAAAGGACCAACTGCCGATTCGCCCACGACTGGATGGCCATCCCCAGAGAGGAGCGAGCAGAGCGTTGTAAAGGCTGTGGAGGCAAAGGACATATGAAGCGGTCGTGTCCAATGAAGGCAGCTGGTTCCGAAGGAGGAAAACGAGGTGATGAAGGAAAGGGTGGACAAGGACCCAAAGTGCGAAGTGTGGGTGCTGGCGTCCAAGCGGCGAATGATGGAAAGCGAGATGATGGAACTACGTCACAGGCACCTTTGCCCTCACCGGCAACTTCGGCGTCACTGGGTTCCTCGATGGACTCAGCCCAGGGATCGCAGGCAGCTACAGCCAATCCGGCAACCACGGCAAGGGACATGGACGAGTTCCTGAAGAGCGCGGCGCAGGTCCTAAAAATGATGACGGACCAACACACCTCAGGAAACCAGAACCCGCCCACCATGAAGATGCTTAAGAAAATCGTAGCAAAGTATGAGCGGAAGATGGCATGGTGGATTCCGGAGCAACCCACCCGTTGAGAAGGGCTACTGAGGAAGAGTGGTCTAAGTCACCGGAGGTGGATGTGATAGTGGCCGGCGACAGCACCGCAAGGATGAAGCAGAATGACACCGGCACGCTGCTTACGCAACCTACGAGCTCCAGTGAATCTACTCAGACCATCTTACCGGTGGGAAGCTTGGTGGCTGTGTTGGGATATGAGCTACGATGGTGTCGGAAAAAGTGTGTGCTCAGAGCCCCGGATGGGAAGGAGATCCTCTTGAAGACGTCATCGGGATGCCCAGAGGTGGACGAGGCGAAGGCGCTTGAGTTGATTGCAGAGATCGAGCAGGAGAACGTGAACAAACTTGAGCGAGAGGTTCAGTCCACTAAGGTTGCAATGCTGCGGGCCAACACCGTTGAGTGCGAAGGACAGTGGGAGAGAGGGTTGTCCCAGTACGTGAAGTTGGGAACATTTGAAGAGGGCTTCAGGTTCTTGGCAATGGCACCATGGTTACAAGATGTTCCAAGGGAGTCGTTGGTCAAGGTAGTTATGGACCTGCCAAAGGAGGAGAAGGAGGCCTGGAGTTTGATGTTATCCTTGGGGTTCAACCGAAGAATGCGGAAAAGGTTGATGCAAAAGGACTGGGTCGTGAAGTTGTTCAGTGGTGCCCGGTCTCCTATGGACAAAGTTTTCAAGGTGGTGGAGAACAACAGCTCTGTGGTGCTGGATGTGGATGTAAGAAGACTGTCGACTTTGGACCTACGAAGCCAAGGAGACGGAGTGATGAAGTTACTCATGTGGGGTGCAGCCACGGGAAGGATCGCGGTTCTCCTAGGAGGACTTCCACGGGCACATTGTGATGACCTGCTTTTGCGATCAATGGTGCTGGCGGATGTGGCTAAGGCGGGAAGGGCGTCTATGTGCGAGTACGCGGATGTTCCTAATGATGGTGTGGCGGTTTCATTGTGGACTTCTTCTGAGGCGGAGGATGATGAGACAGCGAAGGTGTGGAGGCATCAATGGTTCAGGAGGTGGATAGAGGAGCAGCCCTTGGACGTGCTTCACTTTGAGCAGGGAGGGCTGGGACACGGAGTGAGGAAGCCAACGATGATGGTTACCAACTTGGACATCACAGAACTACGAGGAGTGCAAGACCAGAGACCCAACCCGCCGGAAACTACTACCGCATGGTCGGCATGGGCACCTATGATGGTTCGTACAATTGTGAGGGGGATCAAGAGGTGGAAGCAGCGACCTGGTTGGTATCCCAGAATGATGCGGGCTCTTAAAGCAGTGGACCGACGAGCCTGGGAGAGGCATTTGGCCAACGACCACACGCCCTATCGGGCGGATTGTCTACAGTGCATTCACAACGCTACCGGAAGGCCCCATCGAAAATGCCTACACCGGGATTGCTATGTCTTGAGTGCGGATGTATTGGGGCCAGTGAGAGTTGCAGGACCTAAAGGAGAAAGACACGCCATCGTTTTTACCTACCAGTTCCCAAAGCAGCAGATGGCACCGGAGGATCAACCCGTTAAGGAGGAGGACCTGTTGGGATGGAACCTGGACTCTAAAGAACCCAGTGATCAACTACCACATGATGTTGATGATTATGAACCTGATGAAGGCCCTGACCCTGAACTATCACAAGAAGAAGTCGCTGAACTACGGAGAGTACAATCTGAAGTGGTTGAGTTTGATGATTCGGATATGGTGGGGATTCACAAACTCAAGGCGCACAAGAAAAAGAGCGACGAACCCAAGGAGGATTGGTGGGAGTTCAGGGAATCTGCGGGAGTCCTGATACGGCATCATGTTGCAGAGCGGGAACAGCTATTCAGGCCTACGTCGTGGAATGGGTGTCCAGTTCTACCAGCCCGGCTTGAACCTACGAGAATTACATGTGGATATGGAGACCTCAGACTGGCATGGTCCTCAGTCCGGTTCCCGGAAGCTATCGCGGAGGTGGACGGGAAGAACTACGTTTCGGATATCTACAGCGGAGGAACCGGAGGATGAGGAGAACCTGAAGAAGGACGAGGAAAGCTGGGAGAAGATCATCGGCGACCTCACTCAGCCGGTGGAGTTGGACACTATCTACATGGTGTACCCGGTCCGGGCCCGAAGAGGAGGTGATGCGATGTTAGCAATCCAAGAAGCAGTTCTACGACTGAAGCTTTGGGGATATCCGGTGGCAAGACTGCACACGGACAGAGGCTCTGAGTTTTCTTCGAAGGGATTGCGGAAGTGGCTACTGGATCACGACATCTACCACACCCGGTCGGAGTCTTTGGTTCCTCAAACAAATGGGGCAGCAGAGCGAGGAGTACGGTGGTTCAAGACCCGAGCCAAAGTGTTGCTGGATGAGGCCAAGGTTGCAACGAAGTTTTGGACACTGGCTATGCAACATGCAGCTAACCGGAGGATCTACGACAGGATTGGGATTCTCAAACCTGAGCTACTACCATTTGGTTCGGAGGTTCTAATTCGCCGTAAGGTGTTTGGCAACAACAAGAAGTACGACCTCACGGATAGATGGGAGAAGGGGATCTACTTGGGCCTCTCAGACTCAATCAAGGGTGGCTCCATTGTCCTACGACCAAACGGCATTGTGACAGAGACCTTGAATTTGAAGACCAAGGTTGTTGATCCACATCTGCTGCTTGCTTCACCAGAGGAACAGGAGGAGGACACCGGTGGAGGTATTGGAGACATTGGTGTGGAAAGGCCTGTTCTGGAGCTACCAATTCCAGATCATAGGTTGAAGGGGAAACAAGCCCCACCCGAGCTTCGAAAGGCCGACGCAAAACCGTCAGGGTGGACAATGAGATCCAGATTGCGTTTGGAGGAGGAAAAGGCCAAGTACTTCTACGACATGGGCAAGTTTGATGATGATAGCTGTGCTGAGTTGCTGGGAGAACTACAAGTAACGGGAAAAATGAGAACGAGATCAAGGGGTACTACGGCAACTTCGGCTATGCTTGGAGCTTTCGTCCATGGAGGGCTAAAAGGAGCCACTGTGGCGATGAGGAGGAGACCATGGCTCACCAAGTACTTGAACATGATGCTTCGAATGAGGACAGCAGAGGATCTTCAAGAAGATGTTCACTGGACTACGTTGGGTGTGTTTAAGGCGGCGGACATCCCTCCACATCGTGACCTTCGAAATCAACCCAACACCAAGAATTACATCACGGAGGTGGGCGGCAAAGAGACCGGCGGGTTTTGGATTGCAAAAAGAGAAGGTCAGATTGGATGTCAAGGAGGAGGAAGCGCGCTACCACATCAGCGGGAATTTCCACTGGAAGGCTCAACGGTGTCTTTTGAAGGCGTGGATCTGGAAAGCGAAGGTTGGTTGTCAGGCTCCAGTCGAGATGAACCCACAAGTCCGGATGAGGAGGAGGTGAACACCAAGGCTCAGATACTTCGTTGCTGTCTGGAAGAAGAACAACATCTACATGAAAAGGGAGAACATGGTGATCGTCACTCTGACTACATTGAGACGCTGTTGGAGGACTATACGAAGGAGATCCAGTTCTCTGAAAGGAAGAAGCTAAAGAAGATCATGAAGATGATGCCTGGAGTTTCCTCCAATGTGGAGGTGGAGCAGCTATTAGCAGAGCTCAAAGGGCCTCTCGAGGTGGTGCACACTGTTGGATTGCCGGAAGTCAAGAAGTACCTACCAAGGTGGAAGGCGGCAATCAAGAAAGAAGTAAAGGCTCTTGTGGACAGTGGTACCATTCGGCGAATCTCGCCACAGGAAGCACGGGACCTACGTGAAAAAGGACTTATAGTGTTGCCGGGAAAGGGCGTTTTCACTGCAAAACCCCCTGCAGAGTCAAAACCGATGGAGGCCAAGGAGCTGGGGGCGGATATGTACCGAAGAAAATGCAGGATAGTGGTTTGTGGAAACTACTTGCGGCAGAGTGGAGCAGAAGTGTTCGCAAGTGGAACTTCAGCGGACTCACTACGCTTCAGCATTGCCTACGCTGTCTTCCGATGTTGGACGGCGGGAAGTACCGATATATCCAATGCCTTTACTTTGGCGCCAATGCCGGGGGAACTACTTTATGCACTACAACCACCCACTGTTGTGGCACAGGCTGAGGAAGCAGGACCAGGGGAACTCTGGTTGATCCAGAGGGTTCTCTACGGACTAAGGGAAGCACCGAGATTGTGGAGCTTGTTTCGCAATGATCGGTTCCTACATGCTCGCATACCTCATGGTGATGGGTATTTGGTTCTACGTGGGATGGAAACCGATGAAAATGTGTGGCTAGTCCGACAAGAAGGAGGATCTGAAGTAGAAGGGATCATGATTGTCTACGTGGACGATATTTTGTTCTTGTCAAGACAGGCCATCATCGAGAGCATGTACAAGTGGTTAACCGATGGGTGGAAATGCACGGCCTTGGAAACCCTTGAGGAGGGACACATAAGGTTTCTGGGTATGGAACTTCGAAAGTGGCAGGATGGAATCCATGTTTGCCAAGCCGGTTATGTACGTGATCTACTACGACAGCAAGGCATTGAAGAGTCTGCCCAGGGATTAACTGTGCCGTGTGCAAGGGAGTGGCTACAAGATGAGGACACTGATGATGAGAAGAAAAACCCGGACGAGGTACTCATCAAGTTGGCACAGAAGGCAACGGGGGAAACGCTGTGGTTGAGTACCAGGAGTCGGCCAGAGCTTGCTCACAGTGTGTCGTGTATGGCAGCAAGGGCTCTACATCATCCGCAAAAAACGTTAGAGATCCACAAGAGGGTGATGTTGTACCTTGCGCGGACGGTTGAGTACGGCATGCATTTTTGCTATGATGATTCCGAGCCCATGCTTACGGTCTACTCGGATGCTAGCTATGCGCCAGGAGGTGGACGTTCGTTTGGCTGCATTATGGCACAACTTGCTGGAATGCCAATTGCTTGGCGAGCAAGCAAGCAACCGGTTATCACGCTGAGTGTTGCAGAAGCCGAACTTTATGAAGGTGTTTCAGCTGTTCAACTCGGGCTGGGCTTTGAGGCGATGCTACGAGAGCTGGGCGAGAACCCAGTAATGGTGCTGAAGATTGACAACCAGGCAGCTCAAGGGCTTGCTTCTGAGGCACCGGGCAGCTGGAAAACGCGGCACTTACGCATAAGAGCAAGGTTCCTACGCCAAGAAGTCAATGCTCAAAGACTCCACATCATGCATGTTCCAGGAGAACGACAAAAGGCTGACATAGGGACAAAGGCGTTCGATTTGCCAAAGTTTCGAACACTTATGGACTTGTGGAAGATGTGTTCGGGAAGTGTGAAAGGGACCTCGAATGGCATTGTGAAGACGCTTGGAGTGATGGAGGGCAAGAAACCTCTGATGTTCCTGATGATTTGCCTGATGATCATCAAAAGTGCTGGAGCCTCTAAGGAGGATTTGGCTTTGGATGGTTCCTTGGAATTTTATGCTGTGCTGTTGCTTGGGATCGTGGCGGCGGTGGCGGTTTGGGAGATGCTAAAGAAGATGTGTGCATGTCTTACGAAGTGGTGGACAACATCCCAAAGGAAGCGAGAAAGGCTTGAAAGGCTACGTTCCAGGGCACAAGCAGCAGTTCAGGAGGAGATGCGACGATACGAGGCGGCACCTACCGTTATGGGAACTACTACGCGGGAAGCTACTTCGATGCCGGCGACGAGGAGATCTACTTCGAGTACCACCTCGGGACGAAGGGTGATAGCAGAGGAAGGTTTGCGGACGGCTACTACATCAACGGTCGGGACGCAGACTGACCCAGGTCCTGCGATGATTCCAGCGAATCGGCTGGAAGCGTATAGAGGGCCATTCTACATCACTCCCCATGGTGACAGGGTTCATATGACGTCTTACTGTCACGGACAGAGGAATGCTACCGGGGCCTCACGTCGTCTAGAGTTGTGTGCATACTGTGACCGAGCCCGTGGACTCTATGTGCTTACAGCTCCAGATGGTCCTTGACTTAAGGGATCAGAAGCTGAGGAGGAGTGCAGATTCCAGATTTCGGCCACAGGTATCTTCCCATGTGCAGAGTTTATGCGGTTGTCACCTTGTACAATTCCGACGACGGATGCATGGCTCAAGAAAAAAGGACAGTGATGCCCGAGCGCTTACATGTAGGGCACACTTTGTTGCGAGCTTCGATAGTGCGATGGATAACTCCCGCTCACCGCATGCTGATTTGCCTTCTGCTTATCAGCAGGTTGAGGGTTTAGGGTTTGGGGTGGTTCGCTTGGGGGGGGGGGGAGGGGGGGTCAGTTTGAAAGAAAGGTGGGGGGGAGGGGGGGGGAGGGTTGGCCAGTTTGGCCAAAAAGGCGCTTTTGTGCGCACTCTCTCGTTTGGTGTGTTTCAGGTGGTTCTGATTTGGTCCCCGCCGTGCATGTTTTAGCAGCCTGGCATCTCAAACGTGGCACCCACAAAACACAAGGCATGCCAAGACTTCCAAGAACGGCTGACTTTCGTAAGCCATCAACACGACAGCCTGGGGCACAATTCGAGTTGCCTCCAATGTGCTCTCCGCGGTTTCCCCTGACAGCCAGCTCATGAAGACCTGTACTAGTACTCGTATTTTCACTGCCTGGAAGTGGAATTGGGAAGATGTGCAACTTGCAGCCACTCAGTCTGCAGCTCCGGCTTGAGGCTGCGAACGATCCGTTGGATTTTGTTCCCTTCGCGCCATGGCAGAGGTGGGGCTGGGGGATATTCGGAGGGGACCGGGTCATCCCGAAAAAGCCGGAATATCGGGACCGGGAGATCGTCTAGGAAATGACCCGAGCCACTTTCCCACCCACCCAGGT